TGACTCATTCTAAGTTAATAATCCAAAAATGGTTTTTTAATTATATATTACTAAAAATTTTATAGGCAATGTATATATAAAGAATTTTTCTACCTTTTCTGTGGTAGTTATAGTAAATATCAGGTACTATCTTCACCAATAATTATAATAAAAGAGACTTGTTCAAGTAGAATACAAAAGTGAAATACATTGCTTAAGAACTAAAATATATGACATATATACATACATACATATATAAAAATAATTTAGAGCAAAATATGTATTGTATTGAAACGGCTGCGAAGTCATTTTGAAACTGGTTTTCATTTTACGCTTTTACTCAAGCATAATAATTGAGAAATTAATAAAAGTAAAAAAATATAATAATAAAATTAAAATACACGTGACAAGCAAAATCTCGGTATAATAATAAAATATTGATCATATTATGATTCGTATTACTTGATAGGTTTCCAATTGACTTTGTGTTTTTAATTACTTATAAAACATTCTTTGAATGATTTTCTAAATTTAGACAAATTCGACATTGTTATAGCAGGTAGGACATACATACATTTAGAAGTTGTAAGACAAAAACTGCCTCTAAAACAATTTACAACTGAACTCAAGGTTATTAAATTAAAATTATGTATGTGATGTACTATGTAATTTCCTTTTCTACAGCCAATAGAGATTAAAAATTAAATAATAAGACTTTGTTATAAAGACTATGCAGCTTAGTTTTTGTTATTAGAAATATAAGCTACCAATAGATATAAGGAAATGACTTAATGATCAGTTGACAAGAGCAATTGAATAGAGTTTTGGTAAGAACTTTCATCAACCAACATCAGACATGTATTATCATTGATGCCTATCAAAGAACCAAAATTTGTTGTCTATATTTGATATGTGTAAAACTACTATAATCTATAAATATTCTACTATCAATTATGTAGGGTGGCAACCAGAGGTTCCAAGGAAACCACGAGACTTACTTATATGTATATAATAATAAGAATTACATATTAAAACTTATAACCTATACCTAAGTCTACATGATTGCCCCGATGTTAGGATAGCAATACCATTCCATAGCTTGTGTATTAGGAATCTTCTGGTTCACACGGCTTGGTGTTCGTTCCGCGGAGTCAGCGGCGTCACTCGCTATATGATATTTCATCTATACAACTATGTTGCCACGGTGATGTTCATTTATTTTTTAATATGTTGCCCGTACGTAACATATCCGATATACAATTATTCTTCAGAATCTCAGGATATGAAACATATATTATATTATGATCAACATTCACAAATAATATTTGTAGAGCTCCATTACAAAGTAATATTTAATATGGTACAGTTTGTCTGTCATAACTTATTATTCATTTTCATCTAATTCGAAAGTAATGGCAGCTAATGGTATCGAGAGACTTCAGGACCATACTAATGTTATTATAATTGTTATTTACTTTGTTTTACAACTGCGATTCACGAAAAGTATGAATTTGCTCGTTAAATTTATTTATTTTAAAGCAAACACTGTAGTCAGTGCTAGTATTAATAAACTAAACGTTAGATAGAGCGGAGGAATTTTCTAGCAAAATTTTAATTAACTTTTGAATAAGTAGAACATAACAGAATGAAATATTTAAAGAAACATTTAAAGACCTATAAAACTGGATCTATAACTACCTAATAATATTTAAGTCTAAGTATTAATTTAAATAAAACTAATATTTCGGATGTACTATCGTTTATTTATTAGTATAAACTACATACTGCCGAAGTTTTTATTACTCGTACTTTGCACCAGACGAGATGAATATCTGTCTGTCCGTTGGACTACTTACAAACAATTATATTTTCTATCATACTGATTTTATCCTATATAGTCAGTGGTGGCCTAGTGGTTAAAGGCCCGCCTCTCGTTTCCGAGGGCGCGTGTTCGATCCTGCCAAGTACCAATGTGATTTTTCCAAGTCATATGTTCTTTCTAAGAGTATTTAGACAGCACCGACATGCGGTGAAGGAAAACATCGTGAGGAAACCTGGAATTATAATTTTACAATTATAAGTTTAAAATCACCAACCCGTCTTGAGCAAGCGTGGTGATTAATGCTCAAACCTTCTCCATATGAGAAAGAGGCCTCTCAGCAGAGGGCTCTGATAGGCTGATGATGATTACGATCTTATCCTCATCTTCATATATGTACTAAAAACTGTTAAAGAAACAACAAAATATTACACAATATCAGATAGTAGGAACTTATGTAGTTCTCTGTCAAAATTTCGCGTCTTAAAGGACAATAAAATTGTGAAAATTCTCATAAAAATCATAGCTCATTTAAATCAATACTATTAATTATTTAATATTCATTTCTATATTCACTAAAAGTTACACATAATATTGATAATGGCTTGGTAGCATTTCATCACTCACGGGAATAGTCTATCATACAAAATGAAAGCTATCCTATGTTCCTTAAAAAATGTTAAAAGATTAAATAAAGTATACATACATTATATATTAAATATAATAACTGGGAAACAATTATGAAATAACAAACTCTTTAAAATTGTCGCAATTTACAAACTAAGCACGTGTGTGATTTATGAGAGAGGAAATTAAGGTGATCTCTCTTAAATGAGGTACATGACTTGACAACACTTGTGTGTTATGAATCGTTATTATTGAGGACGCTATATACGAGTTTAATATTACTTTTATTACTTAACTTTTGTTGCAATATATTATCGAAACGAATTATTAGTTAACAAAAATAAACATACCACAAAATTTAATACAATATTATTACTGGAAAAATCTTTGAATATACTTTCTTTTAATGAGATTTTCGGGAGTTTTATTCATTTAAATGAAACTAATATTTTTCTTGATCACAGTTGCTGTAAAATAGCCGAAACGTCGGGTGTATGTAGTTTTTTACAAAAATAAAATCGCGTATGTATGTAGTATAATCCGAAAAATATTAGTTTCATTTAAATATACTTTCTCTGTCATCTATAACGAATTTTCAGGAACTACAGATTGTATTTTTTAAGCCTTAGATTTATCAAACCTTACAAATATTTGTTCTTCTAACGCTCGTATATTTCGAACACAATTCCGCTGATACCACTAGAGTTTTGATAACGAACTGCAAATACATCTTTGAACTCAAACAGATTAACTAAGACGAGTCAACTTTCACTACAAACCAGGGTTGAACTGTTTTAATAACAAATATTTGTATTGATCTCAAAATATACGCTAACAACGAGACTTGGTTAATATATTGCGACTTTAAGATATTTCCTAGCAGAAAATTCATTATATTATTCTAACCTAGCATAATTTAATGCTATAAATATGTAAATTGATGGATAATATGATTTTTTCCACACCACTGATAACTGTCTACAAAAATTTACACGACATAATGTATTTCAAACGTAAGACTAAAAGGACTAAAATTAAACTATATGTAAAGTTTTAATTGAGAGCATATTGAGGAACTGTTATGTCACCGATTTAGTTCTAAGAAATTTCGGGTGAAAAAAAAAATGTAAGTGTACATATAAGAATGTGGTAAATGATTTAAAAAGGTCGGGAAGGCTGTGAATGATGAGTAAATATAAAAATAACAAAACAGAAAAGATTTATTTTTAAATTTTATTTTATTTCTCAAAAAAATATATAGTATTATTATTATGAATTATGACAGTAACGCTAAAAAAATTATTTCAATTAGAGCGTATACAATATTTTTTCTCAGCTCATCTTTAGCTCCCGCATACCACGTGTAATATATAGTATAGTGTAATATTAATAGTGTATGTTTGTCCTACATGCAAATGCCCATCTAATCAGAAACCGAATATGTTAAAATTGAACTGGCACATTTCTTGGTACAGTAGGGATTAGTAGTATTAATATACATATTTTTACCACGGAACTTATTTTTTAAATGCTGGCTTCGAAAATTTTTCATTAATTGTTACATTCCTTTGTTTCATTGTTTTTCTAATCGCGTACCGTTGCTTAACCATGGCGGGTTCCAATCATCGGAGAATTAAGCAGAATGTAGTATCTGATAAAGAATTTAGTTAAGTATTTATGGAATATCCGTCTTGTCTTTTTTCAGAATATTAGGTAATATTAAAAAAATATGTGGTTCGTATGACATGAGCAGAAATGAGCCTATTTTATGATAGACTTGCCCTCTGATTTTGAATATACAATTATGTTATTGACCATTTTGCATTAGCTTTCAAACCATTTCCGTTGCTTCGAAGAATTAAACTTTCGAGTTGACTTCAGGAACATGGTAGAATAAGGATCCGTGCAGATAAGTAAACCCTTCAATGGTTCAAATGGTGTTTTAATATCAGGTACTTGCAAATTTTCTGACAGGCAATACATCCTGGTCGGTTCATTTTTGAATTTGACATCATGACAATGCTGGCATACCTTGTCCATAACACCAATTATTACGTTTTAATGAGCACAATATGCAATATCACGCTGATATTGGAATGCTAGAAAGAATGAATCAGAAATGAATGCTCAAGTACCTGTTGACGTGTTGATTATTTTATTCTGCGTTTATTGACTGTGAAACGGCATGATTGTTCTAATCTTATTACTTCATTGCGTTCAACTTGCGTATCTTGTACCATTAACTGTTGTTTTGGTACCTAAAGCTTTCACGCACATCACTATTAATTTGTTGTTAGATTTGTTATTCGGTTCTTTGGGGTCATTTCACATTCTTCTAGATCTACTTGCATTGCGGCTAAAATCAACCACTTGTCATTTTGTTGGTATTGTCCACTCTACCACACACACATAAATAGGCTTAACTGAATTATTTGTTTAAAAAAACATTATTATTATGATAATATGTTTAATCGTTTATGTGAATACACATACATTTAAATATTGTTCTATTTACGAAAGAAAAAAATATAGTTTTTCTTATTACTATCTTCTACTAAGTATATTTTTGTTACAGCCCAAACCATCACTGATCAATCGTCGATACAACACGTACTCCCACTGACTGTGACTCGCGAGGAGTTAGCTGGTGAACTAACTTGTAATGTATCCTCAGCTGCTATGGATAAGGCTATCGTGAGGAAGGTTCTGTTGGATGTTAGAGGTAAGTATGAGATTTATTACTATTATTAATAATTAAGTTACATATGGTTCAATATTTCAACAAGCAATATCATATCTAAAATCTTGCTACGTATTCTTTCTCTGTTATTTTGATAAAATATTTACTGTATAAGCATATTTTAATACCTATATGTTGATAGTCACATAATGGTATGTAGTGTGTATTGAAAATTTTAAACATTGATATTAATGATCATAATAATAAATTAGCATGAATGTCATGTAAAATTTAATATAAAAGCTTTATATATTACTAGTTTTACATGTTTCAATAAAATTATTGTACATAATCAAACGGCTCATAATGAAAAATGAGATTTAAGTTTGGATATACTGAAAATACTCTAATATCAATACCTAATTAGATACCATATAAATATACTAAGGGTTATTATTAAACATTATTTGACATCTTAAACCTTTTAGCTCAAGACAAACATTTTCAACAATAACTCCCAAAACAAAAATGTTAGAACCACAGAAACGTTTCTTATCCGTCTCACAAAAAGCAAGTGAAAATTTTAAGTTTTTCCTCAGTTTAATTTCGTGAAAGAATAAATTTTCATTAAGAATCTTCCGTGATACCGTTTAATTAATGTCCGTAATTATCCTCAGACTGTGATAAGAACAGAACCATAATATTTTTTTGTACTATGATTGACAATTATTACGAGATACTTTTTGTTTTTAAAACTCAGTATTAAAAATTCTATATATTATATATTATTGAGTCACATATATAAAATCTCTACCTGAAAGTAAGTTTTTTACTAAAATCAATTTAGACAAATGTATGTATTTTCGTAACTCGTTGAAAAACAAGTCAAACAAACTTAGCCAGCAGTTGATTTTGATCAAGAAGATTTATTTTTTAAGTTACAAGGTAAATTGAATTCCTTAATAAAAATGTCAAGTGAAAATATAAATTAGATTTTAATGAAAATTAAATGTCCGTGGATTTATTAAATGATATTAAATGTAGGAGATATTTTAATTTATTTGTGATGTTATATATTTTATATCTATAGTATATATGTATAGTTTTACTGATTAACAAGTATCTATTCACTTCAAACAGTCAATTTATCTTCGACGTTGCCATTGCGTGTACTATCGACTCCGATATTGCAAGGTGGTGAAATTTCCAGCCCCTTTAGTGATGGGCCCATATCGATGATTCAAACTTAGATTTAAAATATAAGTCACCACTTATTTAAAGTAACTAAAATACCACAACTTATCTATTTGTTTAAATTTCAAAAGTGTTATGAATAAAAAAAAATAGTTTTCAATATAATAATATTTATGTGACGTGGGCATAAAAAACGTATTTGTCATATTTTTGTCGCTCGAAAATATATACGCGTAAGACATATATCTTATATGGTTACTCATATATAATTTAGGATTTTTTATTCTATTTCATTGAATTTCTACTATAGTTAAATATTATATAAACTATCGATGAACGAGCCACACCATCTGTCTTGCCACTTATTAGCAATACGGCTGGCAATTTATCGGGCGGGCTCAGAAAATTGCTCCTACACTCCAACCAAGTTACGCGATGGCTTAATGTGCCCTTCTGTATTAAATACATGCTACATATAAATTTGAAACATGCACGGATGCATTATATTGATTACCTTTAAAATCAATTATAAACTAATTCTCAGTATAGTTGTAAATAAAACAGTAGTTATAAATTCCTTTTATTAAATTTACTTCAACAAATATTGTCGTATAATATAAATTATAAATCAACTCCAATAAATACAATTCAGTAACGCATTAGTTAAGTTTAGCGTTCACTTACTGTAAACACATTGATATATTGACAATTCTCGATTTATAATCCGATACAACTATTTATATTGGCAGGGATGTACTTATAATAAAATAGAAGATACAAAATATGTATGGAAATTGAATTATGATTTTTAGTTTTAATACACGACTTTTATGTTTAAAAAAAAATATTTTTATATTGATATTGGAATTTACTAATCGAATTATTTTTCGATATGAAAACTGTTACCGACATTTTTCAAATATTTTTCATCATACACCGATAACTTTTTAATAGTATTATGGGTTAATTGGATAACTGTTTCATTTGAAATGAATATTCGCTCATCGGGAACAAGATGAAGTGTTTAGATAGAGAAGATATTTTTTTATTATATTATATTTTGAATATCATGAAAACATGCTACATCCCTGTGTAACTGATAAATGGGGCGGTCAAAACCCCTTACAGCGTAAATAATGGGCCAATCATCACATTCGATGGTATAACTTATGTACCAAAATATGAGATGTAGCGGTTTTAAATTCATCTACTTTAAGCATAAATTTATCTTAGTATACATAAAGGTAGACTTACAATTCTAACTCTGACAAAACCAAATTTCATTCACTAACTAAAAAGTATTGTGATTTTTATTAATGAAAATATAAAGTTAGTTGGTTTAAAGACTTAATTTTGACCGAAGTTATTAAATTGTAGCACCTTGATGTTAATATTACCGCAGGCGATTTAAAAGTGAAACCGATGGAAATTATAAGACCGTCTGGTTAACTAGTATCAAAAGGGACCACAGTATATATGTATATGTATATATGTAATAGAATTATCGATAGATATATAAATAAGACTAAAGTTTTATATATATTAAAAAACATTAAACATTTTAATGAAATCAAAACATCTTAAGATATAAAGTTGTGTGATGATATACTAATAAAATTTGATATCCAGTTAAATAAGAGATAATGCCACAAAATAAATGAAAGTTACGATTTTTTCTTTGGTAATAAAATACGATATATCCTGAGTCGTCAAAACAATGCAATTATTTTTCCATTACGATCTCACTAATAAGCTATTTTCTTTAGTTATATGTTTTCATACGACAAATATAACGGGGTTAAGGATTATTTTATTATGGATACGATGTAACGATCGCTATTTATTGGTTATTATATGAAAACATGTTTTTGTTGGCATCATAAAATGTCATTTCAAACCAACTACCAAATAGATAGATATTTATTAGATATTGAAGCTGACATAGTATATATGTATATTATGTTAGAATATCATCATATTATCTTGGTAAAACAAATTATGTGTCTTCCGTCACAAAAATAATTTGAATCCTTTTAGTTTTTCTATAATACAATATTCTTTTGCACTTAATCAGTAAATTAGCGTCAATTATGAGTTTTATTGCAACAAAAAGTTTCAAATACACCACGAAAATTTATAATTTTCAGACTGTACCTTAAACCATTTCAGCTTTTCTGTATTATATTATTTTGCATTTGATCAATGATTTAGCTTCAGTTATCTACTTTTTGGCAACAAAAAATTTAAATACATCACGAAACATTTCAATTATTTGGATTATACCAATAAGTTTCCCAATTAAAATCGAGTTTTCCTTATTGCAGTACCCCCAAATAAGATTTCCATATCTGGAGTAGGTGAGCATGCTACCCAAGGAACTCTTCTGACGCTGATGTGCACTGTGTCAGGGGCAAGACCAGCCGCGAAGATTGATTGGTTTAATGGAACCCACCAGCTTAGTTCAGAGCAACAAAATATTCAGGTAACTATACATATATTAACAGAATATTTATGTATATTATCATCAGCCTATCAGAACCCACTGCTGAGCAAAGGCCTCTTCTCATATGGAGAAGGTTTGAGCATTAATTACCACGCTTGCTCAAGACGGGTTTGTGATTTCAAACTTATAATTTGAAATAATAAGTCCAGGTTTCCTCACGATGTTTGTCTTAACTGTCTATCAGTGGTGTCTAAATAATCTTAGAAATAGAATATATGTCTAAGAAAAATCACATTGATATAATATATACGCTGTTGATTGTAATACTAAACCCAATAATCCAAAAAACATTTAAAAAATAAAAGAATTAAGCCATGAAAAAAAAATATTTAGAAACGGATCCGGGTTTCTTTCTAAGGAATAATCATAATTCTCAGAAATAACAAAGTTATGTCAAAGTTGAAGTAGCCGTCTGTACCTGTGTAATTAATAATTTTCAATCAGCACTTTAAATGTTAAAAGTTTCTCTAAGTAACACAAACGCATTTCAAATAATTAATTTAGGGTCCGGCACCAAAAGCTACGGAACCGTGTAATATAATTTGGATCTATTGATTAAAATACTTTTCCCCTTTGTTAGTAAAAATTAGAATTGTTTCATTCTCTGACGAAGTTATTCGACTTAAAATCTTAGGGAGATTTGCTTAAAAAAAAATTGTATTCTAAACTTTTTTGGCTTTTACTAATAACACTTGATCTAAACATATTTTTCATTAATAAGAAAAATATAATATTTTCACATATTTATATTTACAAGAAAGTACCATTCTATCCAAACAAACCTATAAAATAATGAACATTTTTGTTCAAAACCTTTTTATCTTTATGAACTCTTAAGAATTACGAAAAAGTTTAACATTAAAAATATATAATTCAATAAATTCCTTCTTCAATAAAATAAACGTTCAGCAATTACATCCGGAGGTATTAACGAAAGCCTTTCTGCGTAGTTGTAATTTCAAATGACTCCGTCCGCCCCATTTAAAAGGTAGCACCTTTAACACAAACGAACGAAAAGTATAGACTATTTATTATACTTACATTTGTTCAAAAACCTTCGCAGGCTTTGTTGTTTGGATACCTTAATTAGCTGAAAAGATCTGTGTTCAATTTTTTGAAATGTTTTTGTGTAGACTGAGAGAAATACTTTTTGTTCATTTCAAAAACAATTTATGTTAAAATAACTGTAAAGCTGGTCATGTAACTCAAAGTAATATTTTATTATAACCACATATTTTTTACGCTTATAGTATATATATGTGTCATTTTCTTCCTGAAGGCTAACTTGAATTTAGTATGAGAATTTTTATATATTTTTAATCTTCTTATTTGATATATAAATTCTCACAACAATTGTCAAATAATCTTTAAAGAGAAGCTTGAAAAACATATCTGCCGATGGTAACCCATCAAAAACAAGACCAAATCAAATGTCACAAAATTTTCGTTACTTTAAAAGTTTAAGTAGTTTCAAGTTATTTTGAGTAATATAAATCTGAAATAAATCGGAAAGTAACTCTGTCCGTCTGACTGTCTTTTACGAAATTTGGTACGGAGATAGAGTTGATCTTGAGAAAGAACATAAGATAGTTTTTATCCCAGACTTTTGAAAAGTTCTCTTAGAAACGCGATATAACCAAACTTAACGCGGGTGAAGCCGCGGGCGGAAAGCTAGTCTTTTATAATATGGTGACCCTAAACCTTTACGTCATAAATATGTATAACAAAACTTACCCAAAATAATATTAAACCAGTCCAGAACTCTCTCCCTTCAAAACCTCCGTCATCTAATAACTCTTATTCAATAACACAACCAATGAAACGTCACACTTCGTTTTTACTTCCCTGTTTCTTTTCTGTATAACTTTTTGTACTGACCGGATTCATTCGTTTGGTTTCAGCTTCGAGAATTTATAACAAACTTTTTATTAAAAAAAAAACTTCTTTGATTAATTTCTCTTACAACCCATGTAGTTAAAGTAGTAATGAAATCATTTTTAAGATTAACGATCTTATTTCTGTGAAATGTTCTTTCATTTAATCTTTATGATATAAATAACAAAAGTTATACGAACCAAAGAATTCAGTTAGTTGTATTCATCCTTCACTGTCATCTACAACTCTGGGTATTTAAGAGAAATTTTCTATAGAGTTCCGTATCTCAAAGGTTGTAAGACCTCACTAATCCTATTAAAACTATCTGTCCATCAAGATTTAAGCAAGCAGTCCAATATCGATGGCATTGTAATGCAAATAGTCTCGTGTATACTATTAATTTTACTCCGTTATTAAAATATTTAATATTGAGTCTCTCAGTACAAGGTTTCAGAGCCGTTTTTCTATGTAACACAATACTTAGACTTGTGCAATTCGCTTCAGGTTTCAAGTTAGTTAAGAACTTTTAATTTATTTTATTAATAAACCCTTTATGTAAGTTTTGATTGTTCTCTTGCACTTTTAAAGTATTATTAATTTTAATAATTAATTCCTAGAATTCGGCCAAACTCATCCACTGTGTATATCGGGTAAAATACAATTGTCATTACGTCATTGGCTTAAACTTTTGATATTACACAATTCAATAAAACCTCACAAGAATAACATTTATTGATGAATATACATATTTTTCATACCAGACGTCAGTAACAATTTACTTATCAAAGTTGCTTCTGTACAAATTAATATTTAAGTTGTTACACGAGTCGGTAGAAATAAATAAAATTATATGCTTATACATGAATAAATACGACAAAATTATATTGAAAATATACATATATAAAATAGATTGAAACTAAAGGATTCCAATGCAATCAGAGCTGTGGTTCTTCGAGAGAAAAAAGTACACTAACAGACTAATCGTGGCATCGCAAATACGTGCGCCTTATACTGTAGATAATTAAAGACTTATTACAGCTTTATAAGTGTACTTCTAATGCACATTTTATAAAGTAATACTGTTTAATGTTTAGTTAAGACAAATATCGAAATAAATGACAAATCTTTAAAAAAGATATCTTGATTAAAAGGACATAACAAATTATATACTTAATCTTTTTTTACTATTGCGATGTTTTTTGAAATTGTAAAACGAATTAATTGTAGGTGGATAAATAAATTAATGACCTATATTTTTATATTTTTAAATATATCTTTGAGTTACCTTAACATTCTCTATTTCTATTATATCCAAGAGAAAAGCATAGTTTGGATAAACTTCTGTGCAATTATTTTAATAGAGGACATCTCACAAACTGCGGGCCATTTTTCATTCTTTCATTTACTCGAGACTGAGCGTTTTACTGGATACAATTCATGAGATGTAGCGTTTTAAATGTTCATATTATTATGAAATAAGACGAAACTACTCATCATTCCATGTATTCACAGGGAGCCCTATCTAACGCGTGTTAAACCCTCACCTCCAACCTAATTCGAAAATATGCAATAAGTATTGATAAAAATATTAGTTATTAAAGAAAATATTGAAACGTAATATTGTAACTGTACTGAAATGTTATAAATTTTACACTTATTTCTTATAACTTGTACCAAACAAGACGTGGTTTTTATATAAATTTCGGGGATGATACTATTCGGTTTTTGTTGTTACATCTCTCTGTGCTCTATTACTCAATATTACCGCTTGATTTGAATCATCTGTTTGATATATCTCAGACGTTATTTGGGCCCCAGATAATGATTTGTCATTAAAGCGTTTTTTAGTTCAAATTACGACAAAGATTCTGAGGTTTGATAAAAACAGTCGAAAGAGGAACTTATAAAGGAGTATATTTCTAACATTCGTCATATATAATACGTTGAAATGAATAGTATTTCATAGTTCAACTTGTTTATAAATGAAAGTAATTTTAGTCTAAAATGAAAATAACTTTGTAATACTCAACAAACTGTTTTATTGTTAACCAATTCAATAAACACAATTTTATTTATTACCATACTCATAATATTAAAAACCGGAATAATATCGTGTAAATTAATTATTTATTTAAACGGAATATGAGCAAATAAACGTGACATACAACACGGTGTCTTTAATTAAAAGCAAGGGAAATTAGATTCATACGTCGACTAAACGTGTCTACATTAAAATGATTGCTGGATGTGTCTCGCTAATATGTATAATACTTAGCATTTGTAACGTATTTATTACATTTGTAAACATTTATTGCGACTTCATTTACATATATTTTTTGTATGAATTTTCATTAGACAACTGATTTTTATATACTGTGACGAGTATTTTAATACGGGTGAAAATAAGAATACATGATACTTATGTCTACACCAAAAATACTAACTTCTATTGATATAATAAATTGAAAAATTTCAAGAGGACTTTTGTCTATGTGTACATTCATAGTTTGTTCATGCCAAAATTACTGAACGGATTTTACACCAAAATAAGATGTAGGCTATAATTTACTCTAGATCGCGTGAACATATTACTCCGTGTAGTTCCCATGGCACCAAGCCTTGACAATTGTATTGTGTATGATGTCTTGTGACCCAGACTATAGGTGACAGTGCGAGTTGATAACCATATTATGTATTTTTAGATACTTTATACAGTTTTTTCGATCTAATTTCTGTTTTAACATAGACGAAGTCACAGCTAAAAGCTAGTAATAAGTAATGAAAAATTTTACCTTCTTTAAGTGTATATTTTAAATTATCAATGTTATTCAAAACCACACAAAATTTGTATTATTTAATCTAAATACATCGCGTCTACAAATCTTCTTAATCTAAAATAAGCACATCAATATATCTTATAGCTGTTAATAGTATGAAACTGGGTCATTGCAATTTTTCATACTGTCACTAACTTCTCTGCAAGATGAGCTGATAGATATATGCTAATTCCTCCCTCCCATTCCCCCTCATTCCTCCCACTTTCCCCCTCTTTCTGGAAGCAAGGAAAGTAAGCATCATTAATCACCGGGCTTAAAAATTAATATCTCCGTATATAAATTGATGAGGTGTAGAGATTCATATACTTTCTTTTATATTGATAAACGTTAAAACGAAAAACGACAAGAATTTTATGAGAAAAAAATATATATAAGGATTTTTATATTTTTATTTTAATATTTAGATGCTTTTAGATTGATTTCTAAACAAGCACTTGAGCAAACAGACTCGATGCTACCTAAACTCAGGGGAATGGAACTGAAATGTCGCTTTTGCAATGGTTTCGTATTTGGTTTCGTAGATACAAAGAATTCTAGGATGAAAAATTTAGCATTCTGTATACAAGGTAAAAGGTTGAAGAAAACTAATACGGTAATATTGAGAATATTTTATATAAGATTATTTATTGTATTAAAAAAAATTAAAACATTATTTTAATTAAATTGTTGTTACATTTATTTTATTAGGATCAAGACTTTCAATTTTAATTAAAGCTCAGTTACTCTTTTAATCTCCATAAGAAGAGATATCATGCTGAATAGAAATTTATATATATTGATTTGAGGAATATTCAATAATTTGTGCTTCATTTAATTAACTTACGCTGCAATTACTATTCAAAGTATTTTCATTACCATTATTAAAAACATTCAATATAACTTTAGTATAAAAAAAATCTTTTGCAGCATTAATTAAAGAGATAAACCCTTAAACGTACATTTTCACCCTATCTAAATTGAAAAGGGTGAAGTCGAAATAACTCATAGAAATAGCCTTTCTGGCCGAGCGTTTAATTATGTCGAGACTATTTTAAACGTTTGAAAACCATCTATTAATAAAAAAAATGCTTTTAATTGATTGCATAGTTCTTAATAATGAACTTGAATAGTTGTTAAAACATTCTCTAATTGAAATTTTTGCGACCCTTTTGATATAAAATTTCCAGTTTTTTTTTTACATGATTTTGTTTATCTTATTGTAGAATTTTTAGATTTTAGAATAATTGATAAAATAGAAACTCAATAATACCCTAAAAAGAATCATTAATAAGTAATTACTACAGTTTGTACTATTGTTCATTATTAAAACTACATCTTTTACTATCCGACTGTTTAAATATTATCGAAGAAAGAAATATAACAATTAAAAAATTGTATGTTTCCTCACCTCTTTAACTACTATTTAATGGTTTCACCTTTCTTATATTTATTATACCATTCTAAAGAAAAAACCTTAAACTAGAAAAAGCCTCCGTAATATATTTCCACCCCTAAAGATAACGGATGAAAATAATTGAGTGAATTCATCAAAGGAGTTAAAAGAATTGTAAGCGACAAACACCAGCCGGCGAGTCCGAATTTATAAAATGGAAAAGAAAAATATCACTAACAATAAACAATGTACAAATTGATTTGACATTAAATCGAGCGTAAATGTAAGTTGAAAAAGAAATTAGAATAGTAAAAGTAAAAGCTAACGACGCGTAAAGCCCTGGGTTTGCGGATACAATTTTAAAAGAAAATTCAGAAATCCCGGGACTAAAGTTACGGAACAATATGAAGGAAACATTTGCTACTTGGAAATACCTTGAAATGCAGCCTACTATATTAAACGGATTAAGTATTAGTGATGCGACGACGCAGCATATCGATACAGCCACGGTTTTATCGACATTATATCTGTGGATGATTTAAATATGGTTTTAAGTAAAATTAATGCCATTACTAGTAATGAAAAGTTTTTCATTCATTATAAACTATGATATAAAATAAGACGTTAATGCCATCTAAGATTTTTGCGAGTATTCATTGAAACTACACTAATATTTTTCGGATTCATCGGCCCGTGATCACGGTTGCTACATAGTAATCGAAACGTCGGGAGTATGTTGTTAAAAATAATTACAAACGCATATTAAATCCGAAAAAAATTAGTTTTATTTCAAATAAGATATTCCTTTGACCTCCTTTTCTTACATAAAGATTCAACTTCAAATGAAGCTACTGTTGTATATGTTTATATAAATATATTGGAAGTAAAAAAGAAAATGATGTGACAAATATCTATATCATATGGTGACCATCCCTAGTAAAGACGGTGAGAATTTAGCAAAAAGTTCCGTAAAGTAAATTCCAGACAATTAATTCTTTAAAGTTGAGAAATTTTATAAAAACGTTTTGACAATGAAATTGTAAATAGACTTTTGTTTTGAGATCACAAGTAAATAGTATTTTAAATATTGTTTTAATGATGGATATTAAAAGTTTGTACTAAAATATGAAATTCTCCATTTTTATAAATTTTATTAAAAGCCAAGACTCCACGTTGGTTTCTAGTCACGAAAGCAAATATTGAATTGCGATAGTTTACTCATAAGTGATTCACAAACATTAAACCTGTTTAAGAATGACAATCTGTTGATAAAAACCTAAAAAAATTAAAGGTAGATAAATAATAATTAAAATAAAACTTATATTTTCGGAGGTATGAAATGTTTTGTAATATTTTAGCTACATACCCCGACGTTTCCGTTACTTACTACACTGATCACGAAGATGAAATGAAATCTTCGGGAATTTGTAGTTTACGACAATAAAATAAAAGTAATAAATTCTAAAATATTAGTTTTGTTTAAATTAATACTCGCGAAAGTCCTAGATATCATTAAAAACTACTTAATTAATTATTATATTATACTAATGCATATTTCCTTTATTTGTTTCATGTTAAACAAGCAGCAGAGGGAAACCGAATCGGTAAGTTCTTATAGATATATATCTATTAATTATTATTTTAGTTAACCGCTATATGAAAATAAATGAATATTTTTTGTAAAACGATACAATTTTCCAATCTTTTGCTTCAATTTTACTATTTTGAAGCGATCATCAAGGAAAATATTTCTCTTGAAATACATTAATATCATAAACCAAAACATAAATACATATTCCACATTCATATATGTAGATACATAAGAAACAATTAAAATGATCAAAGTCTGCCACAATTGATACAAAGTTTTCACGAGCATAAAACAACTTGAGACTTACAAGAGCAATGATTCCATACAAACAGACTTTTATTAGCAAAGTTACGTATATTTATTACTTATTAATGACTCAAATTAATAATTATACATTATATCAATGGAATTTATTTGAACTCATCCATACTAATATTAAAAATTCGAAAGTAACTTTGTCTGTCTGTCTGTCTGTTACGCTTTCACGCCTAAACCACTGAACTGATTTTAATGAAATTTGAGAAAGAATATAGGACAGTTTTTATCCCAGACTTTTGAAAGGTTCTCTTGGAAACGCGATATAACCGAACTCCACGCGGGCGAAGCTAGCTAGTTATATATAAATTATAAAATTAAACTACATAGGTTTGTAAAACATATGATGGAACGCCGCTATTCGTATAGTTTAGTTGTTCAGAATATTTTTCTAAAATGTCGTTACACCGACGTCACTACCAAGTATTTAAGATTTACCTAAACTTTATAAAGACTGTCTGACACTTACAGATTGTGAAGGGCCCTCTGGTAATAACAATTAAAATTTAACAACACAACTCAGCTAACTGTCGGGCGCATTAAACTGAAACTTCTAAACAGTTTGATGGTTAAAGATGCTAATATATCTTAAATTTAATGCATTTTCATTAAAGAGATCGAAATATCTATACAGTAGCATAGTTTTTTAAACTTCTAATGGTGTATGATATTTTAATAGTTTTTTTTACTTTTAACTGGATATCATTTTTTATTTCTATCTTTAAGAGCGACACTACATTCGAGACTACTTCCAACCTAACATTCGAAGCCACGAGGTTTGAGAACGGAAGAAAGTTTATTTGTCGTGCTATAAATGACGTGATGGTGGAAACAAAAGAACATCCGATACACGCAACCAGGGAACTTGAAGTTTGGTGTAAGTTTGACTAATATTATAAATGCGAAAGTAACTCTGTCTGTCTGTCTGTTACGCTTTCACACCTAAACCACTGAACGGATTTTAATGAAATTTGGTACAGAGATAGAGTTGACCTTGAGAAAGAACATAGGATAGTTTTTATCCTAGACTTTTGAAAGGTTCTCTTGGAAAAGCGATATAACCAAACACCACGCGGGCGAAGCTGCGGGCGGAAAGCTAGTACTCAATAATTACTCTATACCTTTCATATAATCGCTGTTTAAACTGAAACTTTGATTACAAAACCTAGAGCACTTTTATATTAATCATTATTAGTATGAAAAAATTATAATCTTTTTAATATTTGTATATATTAATTATACAATAATAATTAATTATTTCAGACCCGCCGTTAGTTCATGTAACTCCACCGAACATTACAATCGTTGAGGGATCCAAGATTTTGTTGAAAAGCGAATATGAAAGCAATCCGTCTTCATTAATAGATGTAATCTGGTGAGTTCCGCAGTTAGATCATGTTTGGTTTAATTAGTTTGGGTTGTTTTAAATTAATACTATTTATCAAGCTTATTTATATATAAAACATATATAATTATATTATTATTTTCATTATTTAATATGCCTCTCAATAGAGAACTAACCTGAAAGATAATAGACTTTATTTTCTTCAGAAAGAACTATGTATATTCAAAAGAATTCCTCTGTATCAAATTATATTGCCGATGTACATCTTTAAGTTCAATGGTTAGAAATAAATTTTCCAAAGTAATCTACTTAAATGTGTATGAGAATAAAGAATCCTATTTCTCGCTCGGTTGGGACGTAATATGTTAAGTTATTACAAATTAGGGTACCCTTAATAATGGGAGAACCTTTAAAATATCATAAAACTCTATTGTAATGGGGTGGCAAAGTTGGATGATGACCAAAATTTTAAATGACGTTACTTTTGAGAATTTAAAACTTAATTTGGAGAGGAGATATAAAAAATATATAATGATTAAGATATTATACATAACTTATAAATAATTTAAATATAACTTCTTACTATATTCGTAGAGACGTAAATCTTAAACCTAACACGTGAAATGTATTAAATTTTAGATATAGAACCCTCTACGCATGTTTGTATCGCTCTTAAACGTTCATAAGCGTCTTACGAGATTCGTATTATACAAGTTTGAAGAAAATGAGAGTTTAATGTAAAACGTAAGCTTCTACCCCTTCAGACTTGGGCTGTATTACTCATTGTTACAATGTATCTTCATATTAAGTCTTACATAATTTAGTCGTTATTGTGAAACAGAATTGACTGAATCAGAAATTCAATTAGAATCTGAAAGTTTATAATATAAATTACAGGTACCGTGATGGTGTTAAGGTCAATGTGAATAAAAGTCACTACCAAGGTGGTAATACAGACCAACACTCACTCATCATCTTAGACGCCAATGGAGAAGATATGGGAAACTATACTGTTCTTCTAGCCAATGCAGTAGGGAATGGCACTACAAATGAAACTATCAGTGTTAATGTTTTATGTAAGTAACTTAAAAACTTCACTGTAACCATCCAACTCGCAAATAATAATTGAATGGACCAAAGAAAGAAGTTGTTTATACAAAAATATCTTTAGCTTCTTAAGTAAACCTAAGTGTATAATTTTCTTTCACAAAGAAAAAACCTCAAGACTGATAATTCTTTGTAGTTAAACCTCAATAATAAAATTAAAATTATATTATTTAGTCAGGCCAACCTCTTAAGCACGAGGGCGCAGGTTCGATCCTGGCCCGGGCAAGTACCAATGTGATTTTTCCGAGTCATATGTACTTTCTAATAGTATTTAGACATCACTGATTAATGCTGATTCCCAAAAAAGGTTGATGTCAATCAATATATATAGCCAATTGCCAAGTAGAAGAAGAATAAAGTTAAAATTATAGCCAATATTGTAACCACGTATATTTTCAGATAAACCCCAAGTACGTCTTACAATGAGTTCACCCAGCCCTATCCTCGAAAAAGAGCATAAAAACGTGACGCTGACCTGCGAAGTAGTTTCTGGGAATCCTTCGATCTTGGATGAAGTTATTTGGTTTCTGGATGGAGAGGTTCTGAAACATCTGCCTGAATGTAATGACACCGATGGTAAGTTAACTGGTAATCTTTATATATATGTATAAAAATTTCGTGTCACGTGTTTGTCCGCGATGGACTCCTAAACTACTAAACCGATTTTAAATTTGATTTGCATTCCGTGTGCATTTTGATCCAACTTGAAAGATGGGATAGCTTACATCTCAATTTATAGTCACAATATTATTTTATTGCAAATTATTTGTCTATTAAAGAAAAATATTTGTCATTATTACAATTATCTGTTGACTGAGTTAAGTATTCAATAGATGGCGCTATTTTAAAAATACAAACGTCATATCTGAGCGACTATTTAATAATAGCATAACCAGCAGGCTAAGGTATAACCTAAATTTATTTATTAAAAAACGTAATAGATATTTCTTGCTTATAGGGCGATACGAAGTTCGCCGGGTCTTCTAGTATTATTATATTTTATTTTACTCATGGATCATTTTATTTTAAATTACTTTAAAAAAATATAATCTACTTAACTATGAAGAATCTTGCAGCTGTATGAATGTATGGAATACGATGAAAATTATAAGTTTTTACCTTATAGGATAGAAATTTATAATCACATATGTATATTTAAAAAAATGCTCATATAAAAGCGTATCAGTTAAATTCGAATAAATGGTGAAAATTTATTAATTATTGTATATTTCTAATTACAGCATTACTCTGTAACGAAGTAGACCCATCAATGCTGCTACTTCAAGATACAACGAAAAGTTTTCACGGAAACTACTCTTGTAAAGGAAAAAACTACGCTGGTTGGGGAAATGAGAGTGAAAAAACGGAACTTGTTGTTAACTGTGAGTATAATTTACAACTAGATTAATATTCATTATTTTGAATTTGAAAATGTGATCATAAAATGGTGTTATTATCTCATATACTCATAATAAATTCATTCTAGATCCGCCCGGTCCTGCAAAATTAACTTATTCCCCATGGCAAGTTGTGAAAGGAAAGTCACTAGTTCTTAGCTGCAAAATAGAAGAAAAAGGCCGACCAGAAACACACAGGTAAAATATAAACTGTACATATTACGAGCATATACTTCATACATTAAAAGAAAACACTGACCAAATAAAAAATTCTATCAAGAACGGAGGTAAATTTTACAAATAACCATCATAAATGAAGATTTAAAAAGTATTTCGGAAAAAAAATTGATAAAAATATATCAGCAGAGGAATTTTGATGTTTTAAATTAAATATGAGTATATAGGCATACTTAAAATATACATATATACTACATAGAAGACCCGGCGAACTTCGTATCTCCTATAATCAAGAAATATCTGTTACCATTTTTTATTTATATTTTTGTAGTTTACCTATTAAAGACATAAATCTACGTGTTTTGAAGTGCGACAGAATGATTGACATATTGGTTAGTTTTAAAATCTAATGTCAAAAAAAAGTATCAACAACTATTAATAAATTAAAAATTAATCAAAAAAACATTGTCCAGCGGATGAAATTGTGAATATAAACCATTCCCAGATCCAATTGAACGCACACAAAAAATTTCATCAAAATCGGTCATGTCGTTTGAGACAAGTTCAGTGACATACACACTCACAGAAGAATTATATATATAAAGATACACAAGTTATAAGTAAATTATTCATATAGATATCGCTGGTACCGCGGCGGACGGCCTGTAACTGATATCGTCTCTCAAAATTGGACAATAGACCCAGTGACTCTTGATCATAGAACTAACTTCTCTTGTCGTGGAATAAACGCGGGCGGCGAAGGAGAGGCAGCCTTTGTCAATATAGACGTATTAGGTATATTTCACTACATACATACATATATTAGAATATCGAGATCATAAATTTTCTTATTTTCTCATATATTTTAAAAACGCTGAATTTACAACTGTAAAACTAATAACTTTTGAAAATCTCAACGATTCATAAACGAATTAAAAAGCCATTGTCAATATAGACGTATTGGGTGAGAAGATTTCACTACATACATATATTAGAATACTGAGATCATAAAATTACGTATTTTCTCATATATTTTGATAACGCGGAACTTACAACTAAAAAACTACATAATTACTCTTGTAAGTCTGACAAACTCATAAATTAATTAAAACTGAAATGAAATGATAAAATAATAACATAAATAATTTTGATATCACAGCTCCGCCTAGCTTCAAATACGCAATGAACCACTACAGCGGCGCTTTATACAAGTCACAGGTAATACTAAAGTAATTAATGACTTTAATATAATTGTTTTTTGTTTAACCACAATATAAATTGATTTCCAGAACATTTCTCTATCGTGTACAGTAGAATGTGCTCCGCTGTGTAGTGTTGTGTGGCTAAAAGACGGTCAGGTCATTGACCCCGAGAAAACAGACAGATACTACGTCGAAGAACGAAAAATTGAACCACAAGTGAACAGAAACGACTTCGAAGCTACTGAATCTACTCTGGTATGGAATTAAATCATATAGATACAGAAAATTATAATTTACTTCCAAAAAAACATTTGTCATACTTATAAGTATTATTTCTTCTTCTTCTACCTGGCAATTTCCCTGCTTTAGCCAGGGTTTGCCTTACATGTTGTGAATAGTTTTGGCTAATTGTTTTTTACGATCGCCTACCTGACATCAACCCTGTTTGGGAATGCATTAATCAGTGATGTCTAAATTATCTTAGAAATTACATATGACTCGGAAAAATCACATTGGTACTTGCCAGGGCAAGGATCGAACCCGCGTCCTCGTGCATGAGAGGCGGGCCTTTTAACCACTAGGACACCACTGACTATTATTAATACAAACTTGACCTTTGACCTTAATTTTTGACCTTTGACCTTCTAAAATCCCCAGCATTGGAATATGTCAGCTTGGTCGGGAGGTATGCTTTCTCGAGGTGACTCTGCGCGATACACTTGTCGCTCTGGAAGAAATGCTGCCGGGCCACCAGTGAATAGTACCACGAAATTCGCTGTTGAATGTGAGTATTATACTAAAAAACTACGTCTAATGTATTTATTTTAATGACTTGTTACAGAAAAGTAATCCCTACTCTTCTACCTAGCAATTTCCCGACTTTAGCCAGGGTCTGCCCTGCATGTTGTGAATAGTTTAGGCTAATTGTTTTACCGACCGAGAAAAGTCATCAATACTATAATATTATAAATGCGAAAGTAACTCTGTCTTTTAGAAGGAGTTTGAAAAACATATCTGCCGATAGTAACCCATCAAAAACAAGACCAAATCAAATGTCACTAAACTTTCGTTACTGTAAATGTTTAATTTACTTCAAGTTATTTTGAGTAATATAAATCCCTAGTTATATTATAAATGGGAAAGTAACTCTGTCTGTCTGTTACGCTTTCACGCCTAAATCGCTGAACTGATTTTAATGAAATTTGTACAAAGATAGAGTTGACCTTGAGAAAGAACAGGATAGTTTTTATTTTGAAAAGTTCTCTTGGAAAAGCAATATAACCGAACTCCACGCGGGCGAAGCTGCGGGCGGAAAGCTAGTATTTATAAATATGTTATCATATTTTTGTTCCAATAAAAAAAATGTGTGTTTTTTTTTTACAGATGAACCGGAAAATATAACAGTTACACCTGAAGTGGTGTCGGTTGTGGAAAATGAAATACCAGCGAAAGTCGTATGTTCTGCCAAGTAAGTAAAATAATCCGCCTTCCTACTTAAAATAAGGAAAAACTTACAAACCACACCTATATATGTATGAACATAAATATAAAGTTTTAATTTCGAATCCATTATTCCATCTAAAAACTTCGGATTTGATAGGAAAAAGCTGTAATAAATATCAGAATAAATACAAAGTTTTTGAATTACTGACATGCGTATATTTATACAAAAATTTATAAGATTACTAGAAGACCCGGCGAACTTCGTATCGCCCTATAATCAAGAAATATAATCTGTTACGTTTTTTTTAATATAGTTTTGGAGTTTACGTATTAAAGCCATAAATCTCCGTGTTTTCAAGTGCGACAGAATGATTGACATATTAGTTAGTTGTCAAATCTAAAGTAAAAAAAATAATTGTATCAACAACTACTAATAAATTAAAAATTAATTAAAAAAACATTGTCATTAAAACAAAATTTATAAGATTATAAAAGATTTCCATAATAAAAGCTACTTTTAACTTTCAAAATTTTATTCCAGAGGATTTCCAATGCCGAGCTACAGCTGGCGTCGCCTCACTCCTCACAAATCCTCATCTCGTGAACACAATTCCTCACTTATACTATCATCTTCGAATGCTCTACTCTTGGGCCCTGCAGCAAGAAAACACGCTGGTCGCTATGTCTGTGAGGCCTATAACAGACACGGCTTTATCAACACTAGCGTACTACTAGATGTTATGTGTGAGTATATCATTCTTTTATCTGGCTATAGCCAGGGTCTGCCTTATTGTGAATAGTTTTTGGCTAATTATTTTACGATCGCCTGAATCATCAACCCTCTTTGAGAATGCATTAATCAGTGATGTCTAAATATTCTTAAGTACATATGATTCGGAAAAATCACATTGGTACTTGATAGGATCGAACCCGAGCCCTCGTATATGAGAGGCGGGCCTTTTAACCACTAGACCACCACTCACAATAATATCATTATCTATATAAAAGAGATTTCCATCGATATATTGACTCATCATGATGTCTCTGGAACTATGAGACTTGAAATTTGGTAGGAATATATTTATTGATCAGTAGAAATCAGCTAAGAACGGATTTTACGAAATTCTACTTTTTAGTAGGTTTTGGGGGCTGGATGTTAGCAACGGCTAATTACTTAATATTATCGACAAACTAAAATAGTTCGAATATTTCTGTTAATTATATTTGTAACTGAATTATGTTGTCTCTTCAGAATTTATGTAATACTGTGATTTGAACAGTCTCGTTAATAACTGTTTTATCAACAAACTGTTTGTATTTGTTTTGTTTACACTCAAAAATAAGCTCCGCTTGTAAACACGAATACTCTGGCTTAACAGGCAATATAAGAAATATTTCAACAATCTAATTAAAATACATATTCTTCAGGGTCTTTTTTAATATGTCCATATTATTTTGATCATTTCTATGTATATTCACGTATGTTATTTCTCAATAAATTGTAAAATTTTCACATACATTGGATACCCAAATAAAAATCGAAAAGATAAAATATCCATCTGGGTGTGTAAAAAAATGCTAGAGTAAAATGAATTGGTTTCTGATACGAATATAAAAATATATGACTTCAACTGATTCGTCATAACAATGAATCTTGGTGCGATGCCAAATGTACAACGAGTTCATTTGAGTAGTTTTTCTTCTCTCATTACGAATGGATGGTGTGATAGAAAATTGTTAGTTATAAACTATAATTATTGTATTTTAGTGGTGTTTTTTCATGTTTACTTAATTTTTGTATGTTTTAAATTACAGTTATTCCAGAATGTGGTATAAAACAGATCGAGTTGAACGGAGAGCAAGTTTTAGTATGCACCGCCCACGCGAACCCATCTGAGGTGAATATATTACTTATATAAATGATTTTTAATATCAATATTACTTCGTCAAGTAAATTAGAATTACCTTGTAAAAACTTATATAATATTTCAAAGTATTGACAACAACTGATTTGTTTATATAAATCCATAAACGAAATATATTATTTAATTTACTATATATTACAAAAGACGTAATTTCATCGATAATTATGCTACATTATAGTATATATATGCCTATTTTTCAGAAATTATATTCAAATTCAAATATATTTTCACGAGTATTATTTTCAGGTATCATTTACATGGAAATTGAAGAATGATAACGATAGTTTGACGGATGAAAAGATTTGGCAGAAAGGAAGTCAAAGTTTCCTTCGTTTACCAGCTGTTGAGGTTTACAGAACCTACCTCTGTAGAGCGAATAATAGTGTGGGCGCGTCTAGACCATGCGAGAGAGATGTTATGGGTAAATATATATATACATATATAATTATGTAGGGGTAACTAAGGAAAATATTATGGTACCAGTTTTGAAAGGCCTACTCAAAAAATTCGGAAATAATATTACGTTAAAGGAAGTAATTTAACTTGTAAATTTGAGGCTGATTTGAAGTATCTACTTTCAGAATGTATAGATTATTTTAAGATTATCTAATATAAATGTATCTAATTGCGTTTTTTCTTTTAAAGATAAATCTTTGCATGTCCAGTCCTAACAAATGACACAGTTACTTATTGACTAACCTAGTAAATTTGATGTTCAGAAATGTTTTCAAATTTAAATGTTATAATTTTATTATCAAATAATAAATAATCTCCATGCAATTTTTATAATTGCCATAACTAAAAATATATTATAAAGATGGCCTTGTCTAAAATGTAAAACGCTAGAAGTTTTTTAAGTAAATACGCACATATTCAATTATTTTGTATTTTCCGTGCAGCGAACTTGGAAAGTTACAGTAAGTATAAAAAATAATATGAGCTTCACAACAACAAAAATAAAAAGAGTGATATTATGAAATTCATGCGTTATTTAAGACAACTTTTAAATTGGTATCATTAAATAACAAAAAATAAAATAAATGTATGTTAATAATCAGTATTAGTGAAATATTTAAACATAACCAATCTTAAACAGTTAATCCACGAAATTTGTAACCTTAAAATACTATTTTTAAATGTACCTAACAAAACTGTTAACAAACTTACTCCATAAAATTCTACATTTTATTCTATAAAATGAAACTTACTCTACAGCTTATTCTATAAAATGAAACTTACTCTACAACTTATTCTATATATCCAAGGTACGAAAGTATGGTGGAGAGATCAACATAAACTGATGTTGATTGGAGGAGCAGCGTTGGCGTTACTAGTTCTCTTTGTAATTCTATGCGCCATCATAATATGCGTTTGCAGACGAATGAGAGCTAAATCTAAATGTAAGTAAACTTGACACTTATTTTCATAACAATAAGTGTTGTTTTGCATTGATTTTGTATAGCAACTAATTGACCAATTTGTGATCATGTGCTTTTTTGTTTTGATTTAAATAGTTTATCATTTCATTAATATTTTCATTAGTTTAAATCATTGTTGTATTTTGTGTATTAATATAATAATTTTGTTTTCGTGATTGCTGCTAACTAACACGGAATGCTATACAGATAACAATCCAGTCGAATTAGAAGAGCGGGAAAAGTGAGTATTTGAGATTTTAAAAATTAAATTAGATGAGAATGATATATAAAAATACTTTTAATTTATATAATTTTAATGGAAACACATATATTTTATGTAGGCGTATGTGTTAGTACCATTAAGTTATGAATGTTTTGAACTTGAAAACTTAAAAGATTAAGATCAAGTATTTATAAGTACGAGTAGTTCAATTTATTAGCCAGCTTTTAATCGTGTTTCCATTTTGAAGACGATATTTTATTTATATATTATCTATATATTAAATTATAACAAATATGGTAGACGTAAACTAGACTTTGCATACACTATCTATATATATTTATATAAATCTATGTATTCATATATAATATATTATAAGTATATGTATTTTATGGTCAACTATTTCAGCACCATTGGTCCGATCAGATTCTTGGCACACATTATCAATGCCCCCTTCGAGATCGCCCCTTGTAGTAACGCAGTCGTTGATATAGGTCAAGGACGTACAAGGTCATGTGCGTTGTATTCGCGTGATTCAAATGTTTATAAAGAATCATGTAACCACTATTGAGTCTCCTACAATACTACTGAGTCTCCTACAATACTACTGAGTCTCCTACAACACTATTGAGTCTCCTACAACACTATTGAGTCTCCTACAACACTATTGAGTCTCCTACAATACTATTGAGTCTCCTACAACACTATTGAGTCTCCTACAATACTACTGAGTCTCCTACAATACTACTGAGTCTCCTACAACACTATTGAGTCTCCTACAACACTATTGAGTCTCCTACAACACTATTGAGTCTCCTACAACACTATTGAGTCTCCTACAACACTACTGAGTCTCCTACAACACTATTGAGTCTCCTACAACACTACTGAGTCTCCTACAACACTATTGAGTCTCCTACAACACTATTGAGTCTCCTACAACACTATTGAGTCTCCTACAACACTATTGAGTCTCCTACAACACTATTGAGTCTCCTACAACACTATTGAGTCTCCTACAACACTATTGAGTCTCCTACAACACTATTGAGTCTCCTACGACTATATCTTGAGTTTGAATCTCGCGAATACAACGCAGTTTGGGTTTTCGGCTGTGAATTTTGTAAATGCTTGGACCAAGCCTAGTATCAGTTAGGGCTTGTAGCTGCATGCGACACACATATTATATATTTAATCTTTTATCCTGTGTAGGTTCCTAACCGCCTTAACACCAGACGTTTTGAGACTGACAACAATTAACACTTCAGGTATAAATACTAACATATCATTTTAAATTCTTCATAGTGGAGAATGCTTTCTTATATTTTCTGCTGTTTCCATGATTATTTTTGTGTGGGTAGTTTAGTAAAGCAAGTGTTTCTATCACTGCATGATAATGAAAGCATTCTTCTAGATTATAACACTTATATTTCCATGTATGTATGTTATTCATTTTGTATCGTAACTGTTTATTATTAATTTGTTTTATGTATTTACATGTATTTTATTTTTTATGTTATAGTATTGTGTTATCAGTCGTAATTGTCACATTTGTTATCGAGACTCGATGTTTTATATCTCTATTATGTTATCATATCATCATCATATCCCTAACATGATTATTTCATTTCCTAAACAGTCCGGATGGTAGCTGTCTAAACGAAGTTTCCATAGCGCAATCTATAATATCACAAGCTTTACCCGCTTTGTCACCGCGTATATTATCATTCAGTCCGAAATCTTCAGATAGAACTAGACTTGTAAACTCACAGAGTTATCCTCATAGCATAGAAATGACTGTCAAAGAAAGCTCTAATAAAGTAGATCAAAATATTAATGAAGGCACAACAGAAAATGTTGAGACACCGAAAATAGAACCTAAAACAGATGTAGATAAAGTCCAAAGTGTAGTGACGCCGAATAAATGGCCTCTTAAACCAGGAGTTTTGGTGCACGTAAACTCAAACCACACACTTAGCCCTAAAAATCAAGCGAGATTACAAAATAGAATACAAAATGAGAGTAACGAAGAAAGCAATCTTGGCCTATTAGAAAGGAAACCAAATATAGATAATAAAAGCCCACCAAAGACTGAATATTCAAAGAAAACTGGAAAACCAAAGAAACATTCACAAAAAGTAACCGGTATACTTAAAAATTTGAGACGCAAGAGCGATTCATCGGATGAAGAAAGTGGAAAATATAAAAAAATAAATAAAACAAACAAAAGAGCTGTAACATTAGTGACTCATAATAAAGGTTTTGGGCATAAGAGAAGTATTAGATCCTTCTTTCAAAGTGAAACGCCAAATGTGATAGTCACGGAAGGAGGTAGATATTTTGTTAAAAGCACCTTAATGCAAAATCTACGTGTGAGATTATATTTTGAACATCACTTTTATTTTTACATAAACACGATTTTATTTTATAAAACGTTATTAATTTTATATGTACGAATAATTTTGATTTTATTTATCATTCATACAAATATCATCTCATACATATCACTACACATGACTTTTTGAACAACATTTTAAAATCAAGGCACATTGTTGCAATCTCATCATTTCTTCTATCATATGTTATATCAAAGTAATCACAATTAAATAACTAACTATAATAAAATAACAGACGATGAAGGACAACAACGTGAGGAAACCTGGACTTATAATTTCACAATTATAAGTTTGAAATCACCAACCTGTCTTGAGCAAGCGTGGTGATTAATGCTCAAACCTTCTCCGTGTGAGAAGAAGACTTTGCTTAGCAGTGGGCTCTAAAAGACTACAAAAAAATAATAATAACATAATGTACATTACTTTGATGTTTCATATAATCCAATAATGTCTTAGAAAATTATAATATTTATTTTGCTTGCACGTTTTTTTTTGCAACGTTTTGATTTTTTGCATGTTTTTAGTCGTATCATTTAAAAGACCCGATAGAATAGCGAATGACAAAGTACCTATAAAAGCACCGAGAAACACAAGAAAACGGAAGAAACCCGGAGATAGTGAGTTTAAGCACGATTTTATTTATCGCTTTTGTTGCTTATATTATTCGCTTAAAAACAAATAAGACTATAATACAATTGCCATAATTCTTGTCCAAGACTTTGTATAATTTATCTTAATTCTGTCTTCAGTCCCTATTCAAGGTTAAAAATTCAAAATTGTTCACAATGTCTTATCTTATTTCTTAAAGTCATTTTTCACTGATAATAATAGTAATAAATTCCATAATACACTTTTCCTTCAATGAGATATAATAATTATATTCTTGATAAAATCTCTAACCTTTTCTTAGATTTTGAATATCGTATTATATGTATATAATATCATTCCAGGCCCAGCTACGAATGGCGTAGATAACGCGCCAATCACGGAACCCGGGCTTTACGAGAACTTGCCCTTCCACGGATTACAGCAACCTCCTAATAAGGTACTATTATATATTATCAAAAACATCTCTATAAACTAAACAATGAATATAACACAATATCACTTTGCAGTTTCTAAATATATGTAGATTCTTTTAAAGTATCATGCATTTCGATGATAAAGAAATATGTAGAAACTCCAAAGTCTAAATTTAAAAACTTATTTTTGCTTAATTTTTGTTGTTATTTTAATTTCTTTTATTTTTTTCATGTTTATTTGGCATGCTTAACAGCCTGTGCAAGCGATACAACCTAGAATTGTCGAAACTAACCAAAAACAAACTAAAGGCATTGAAGCGCTACAAAAACAATTATCAACCAACCCTTCATTTACGCCCCGTGTCGTTTGTCCACCGTTCGTACAAAACGCAATAAGTTACCCAGTTACATCGAATACTGATTTCCCAACATATGGGATACCAGTTTTATCGCCGATTCAACAAATGTATCCACTCCATCAAACTGTCTTACTAAACCCGTACTTACCACAAATGCAAACATCATTTCTAAAACAATTTCCTAAAATCGATGAAGAGAAGTTCGAATCTGAAACGAAAAAATTTAGTTCCTTAAATACGAGGAATGTAAAAAATAAACCGAAGTTTCAATCTATGAGGATTGTTAGAAAACGTAACATCGAAAGATTTTATCCAAACACAGAGTATGGCGAGAATTTTAACGAAATTAATAACAATATAAATGAGAATGATGATAAGGAAACGAGTGATAATATCTATGAAAACTATCCGACACTATTGAAAGTTAATTCCGACATAAGTGGTGTTGAACAGTTTGAGAATTTAACTGATTCTATACAAATATGTGAAGAAAGTAGCGATAGAATAAATGCATCAACATCTTCTTTAAATAGACCCGTGCCAGCGCCTAGAACTAAATTAACACCAGTCACATCACCTGCAAAATCTGACCATGTCTATGTCAATCTTTCAATGCCACTTATAAACACAAGTTACATGCAATCATATGACGTCATTGATGGGCCAGTAAGGCCAACTAAATCAGAAGAAAATATTTCCAAAAATATCCAAAGAAACCAAACCAAAATAACACCGATGGTGCCAAAAAGGACGATAAGTTTAAAAAACATTCATGATCAGTGTGATAATGATCAAAACGCGATCAATGAGGAAAAAGAATTGACGAAACCTAATATCATAGGTGCAACACCTAAAAGAAATACCTCAGTAATATTACCATCAACCTCGCTAGTTAAATCTGTTGTAAATCAACTAAACGATCAAGGTATGAACAAGGTTGGACTGCCAAAGAAGCAAGTTATATTACCAAACAAAACCTTACAAATACCAAAATTATCTGAAAAACCAATACCAAAAAGAAATTTAGTACAACGTAGCAATTCAGTTCAAATTAGTTCTAATAATAGTGATATCGCTCAGGTATAGATGCTTTGTATGTTTTCGTTTTTTTTTCTTTCATTTCATCATAATTTCATAATTTTGTGTCTAATAAACTAACAAACTAACATCTCATTTTCAGAATACTAATATACTACAGCAACAATACCTTCAGAAAAGAAATCATTTTAGCAATATATCCAAAGGAAAAAACAAGAAAAACTTCCAAATACCATTACAAAAACATCACAGCTTCTGCTACTTCCAACCAATTAGAGTAGATAAAAGGATTCCGGTCGATCAAGAACTATCATATAACAACACAATAGGTCCAGTAATCTATCAACATCCAGAAACTCAATATTACACGAAAACATTAAACAGAACAAGAGAAAAAAATAGTCAAAAACTAAATCGTCTCAAAAAATCTGAAAGCTTACGCGAAAAACTATCATGTGTCGGTGTTTACGATAACTATGAGAAACCAAACTACCCAGAATCAGATTACAACGAAACAGAACAAAAATCATACCTCCAATTACTAAAAGGGAATTACATATCAAACTCAACGAGAAATCTAGCACCGGAATATAATTACAACACTAATTTCAACACATTGAATAAAGAGGATAGACCTAAACATAAGAAATTAGTTTACGCAGATCTAGCGTTAGGTAATCATAATTTAAAATTTAAGAATACAGTCAATTCAAATAGACATTTATACGACACGTATACAATAGGTAGCGAGTCTAAAGAAAGTAATAGTAGTTATAAGAACGTGAGTAGCCAAAGAAAGAATATCCAACAGAAAAGTGACTACGCTACACTTAAGTTCAATGAAATTGATGTTTAAGGTGAGTTACTAACTTATATCTAACAATATAACATAATATATATTAAGTTATAGTATAAATATAAAACTATTATCTATTATTCAGCAAGTTTTCGATTACTTTTACAAAGTTTCAAATGTTTTCCATATCCCTTATTGCACAAATATCAAATCGTTTGTAAAAAATATCTTAAATATTCTTTTCTAATTAACATTTCGATGCTATTTAAATCTGAAACTTATTAATGCTTTAATTATTATAGCATGTCATAATATCGTTACGGTTGTATTTCTGTTTTTAGGGAGGCTTAATGAAGAGCGACACGTACATATTTTAAAGGTAATTTTAATACTTCGCTTCGCTTATATTTTAATGAATTAATCATATATATGTATATATGCATTGTCGCTTCCTATATGATATATATGTAGATTTTATTAAAACATTTAAAGTGCTAATATAGTATTTAAAGAGTATTCAGTGAAAAATATAAGAAAACTCTGCTGAATAAGAGATTATCAATGAACTAAATATTTTTATATTAATTTTGTTTTTACCCCTTAAATATTTGTTACTAATTATTAATAAAATCTTTGTTATTTTCCATGTTTGTGACAAATGAAGTAATTTACATTCATATTTCAAAAGCACCAATCCGAAATATGCAACATTTAAATCAATATTAATATTTATATATAACGCGATGGTGATAATTGTCAAATATTATTTTAATAAAAACCCATATATTTATTTATTTTATTATATGTGACTTTAAAATATATTTTTCTACATATCTGACCTGTATTGAATTTATTAATTATTTTTAACATCTGGTTAGTTCCTTATGCAATTATTGATTTTATATATTTAGATTACAATAAAGAATATAACAAGTTTTAAAGGAAATATAATATGAAATATCAATCAGTTAATAAAAATATGAATTTCTCATTCACAGCCTTTCCTACCAGAAGATCAATTTATTTACGCCGACGCGGACATGAAAGATTACGGGCCGATAAACTACAAAGCAGCATCAATATACGCTCAGATGAAAAAAGTCAAAGATCAACAGAAATTACAAGAAATATACGAAAAAAATCATCCCGAAGACGACATGTTGTGATTTACACCTTATTTATTTATTATATTGTTTTCTTAACAAAAAATAACAAACATTTTAATGTTATTATTAATTTAATTAACTATATTTCGGTGCATCTAAGTCTAAACAAGACTGTTTATTTGGAGGTTAACAAGGACTTGCTATGTACATAATATTCTATGCAACAAAATATAATACAATAGAACGGTTTCAATTGTAATAAGCTTGATGTAACCACCAATGAAGTGAGGCAAAAAAAATATTTTGCGAATATCCACCAATGAGATCTCTTAATTTATATAAATATATATAAATTTAAGTGCTACCATTGGTGGAAATTTCATTTCTTTCTTTGGTGAGTGCGTTATAAGGCTTATTTTACCTATCGCAAGCTTCATAGTATAATGACACTACTAGTTTTATTACCGTCCGTCCAAACGGTTTATAAACCTAGTTAGTACAGACCCGTATATGTAAAAAAATATTAGTAAATAACTCTTAAAATTATAAGTAGAGAATTGAGAATGTCTCATGTATGTAGATGTGTTCACTTGGCCCCTAGAAACAGCATTTACTTTCAAATCACATGCTTTTATCGTCGTTTTTTTATTAAAATTTCATTTTAAACTAATGTACATATTATATTTTTAATTTTTTTTATTCCTAAATTGACATATTAATTACTTGATTCAGTTAAAACGAGCACATTATAGACTAAGTGTTACAACGGATCGAAATTGTATTTTTGTTTGCAAATTTAATTTTTTTTCTTCACAAATACAATTAATTGAATTAAATGATTTCATATTTTTATATAGAATGTTAGTCATTTTCTATTAAATCCGTTGTAAATAAATTTAAGAGAGTAACAACAGATTTTGTACATAATGTAACTTGTTAAAATATTGTCGAATAGTATTAATAAATAATTTATGGACTTTTTATATTGTTTCATTACGTAGAAGTCTTCATATATTTTAATCCCTACTAATATTATAAATGCGAAAATAACTCTGTCTGTCTGTTACGCTTTCACGCATAAACCACTGAACTGATTTTAATAAAATTTGGTACAGAGATAGAGTTGACCTTGAGAAAGAACATAGGATAGTTTTTATCACAGACCTTTGAAAGGTTCTCTTGGAAACGCGATATAACCGAACTCCACGCGGGCGAAGCTGCGGGCGGAAAGCTAGTAATTAATAACATTATGGTGGGAGTAAATATTATTCGCAGCAAAGAAAAAAGATATATTTTTTTTATTTCTAAAGAAATCTAAAAGTAATGTATATAATGATATCCAAGATATTCGTATGTGCTTATTAAAACAAAGATTTTCTACTATTTTTTTAATACATTATCCCAAGGTTTCGGTTCCTATACAGCTTCAAGGAACTCTGACAGAAACTTTCATCTCATATGCTTGATGTGAAAGAATCTAAAAGTCGGGCTTATGTAGTTTTAAAATAACAAAAAAAAAGAGTAGAAAAATATCTAATTGTACAAATAATAGACATTTTTTTCATAATCACATGATTTCAATATCAAAAACAATATGCAACAGTTATTACACATATTATTTAATTATTTTTATCAATAATAATCTTTCCATAACATTGAAATAGATTTTGAAGATAAGACATAAGATATTTTAGGTGTCAATTCAAAAGATAAATAAAGATAGAAAAAGATAAACAAGTTATCGAAAAATATAAATTTATTTACATCAAGTAACCTAATATATCACAGACACTATTTTAATACTAGCTATATTACAACTTATAAAAAAAATATGTTTAAAAAACACTTGTATGAGAATTATTTGAATAACACACTTATATTAAATTGATGGCCAAATATATGTCAATAGTATGTCGACTCATATGTACTTTCTAAGAGTATTTAGACATCACTGATTAATGCATTCCCAAAGAGGGTTGATGTCAGGCAGGCGGCCGGTCGTAAAAACAAGGAGACAAAACTATTCACAATATGGAAAGCAGACCCTGGATAAAGCTGGGAAATTGCCAGGTAGAAGAAAAAGATATTGTATGTTTTAAGGTCTGTTCTAGGCTTAATGCTGTCTTTAACATATAGTATAATTCAAACGTTTTTTCTAGACTGCACAAATGTTTTAAAAATCTTCACCAACAAAACAGGCTGCAATTTATCTATATATGTATAGAAATCGTTTTATCAACATTGTTATTACGACACGGATATAAAATACAAATTAATTTTATTATCAGATTAAACAGGAAACCTTTGAGACACATAATACTTATAATCTACTATAGATTATTTATAGTCAAATCATTTTACACATATCACTGAACGATTTTTAGGAAACGAAAAAATTATTATACGCATGCAATTATTTTGAATAATTTCATAATTGTGATGATATGTAAAATTAGTCTTAACATTTATGTATCGAATAATTTTCGAATATCAAAACTAAAACCAGGACTCCGTGTGTTTACATCAAATGAGATAAAAGTCGTATTGTCCTCTACCGAAGTAGACGTAGTCTGAACACCACTTTCTTGCTTGAAGATCAGTTGAGCAACAAGCTGGGTAGGCCAGTTTAGATTTAGTGAGTTTAGCGCATCGCTGACATAGATCAAGCAGTTCGTCCTGTTGAAAAATTATCATTAGAATCTACTTTACATATTTAATTTAGTTCAAAGTATTTTTTATAATATAAAGTATTTAATTCTTATACGACGATATCGCGAGGATACATTTAAATGAAACTAATATTTTCGGATTACTACGCGTCATTTAGTTTCAATGTGATTTTTCCGAGTCATATGTAATTTCTAAGAGTATTTAGACACCACTTACAGACGGTGTAAAAACATCGTGAGGAAACCTTGACCTATAATTCCACAATTATAAGTTTGAAATCACCAACCCGTCTTGAGCAAGCGTGGTGATTGATGCTCAAACCTTCTCCATGTGACAAAGAGGCCTCTCAGCAGTGGGCTCTGATAGGATGATGACGACGCGTCATTTTATTATTTTTAAACTACATACTCCAGACGTTTCAGTTATTTTGCAGCAACCATGATCACGGGCGTTTCATTTGCAATGATGCATGATTTAGCATCCTCATCTCGTCTGCCCATCTTCACGATTGCTGCAAAGTAATCGAAACCTCGGAAGTATATTGTTAAAATTAATTATAAACGTGTAGTAATCCGAAAATATTAGTTTAATTCTTATACATAGGTCTGAGATGTTTCTTCTTATTTACAATATTGACTACTACATATAATGTTCTATTATTATTTTTTCACTCACGTCTGTATGACATTCTGCTGACTCAGTGAAGACCCCACTGCCTGGTGACAGCCACGGAGGTCGTGCGTTCGATTCCTTGATCACCAACGCTATACATATCAGCATTAGTAACGCTGTTTTGGTTTTCTGTGGACAACATTTGTTACAATCATTTTTTTGTATCGATTTTTTTTTTGCATTATAACGTTATTTGAGTGGAAGTTTGCAATCGAGCAGACAGCCTACTTGATGGGCAGTAGTCACCTTGTCAAACTTGTTTTTTGATGAAAAGATAGGTGTGGCAATGAGGATATGGCAGGAAAGGGTGGGAACAGGGAAAGGGTAGCCAGCTATGTCACTCATCAGACGAAACGCAGCCATTAAAGACTACTTCACGCCGATCTTCTGTGAGAGGGTGGTACTTCCCCGGTCGAGTTAGCAAATGTCCGAACTGTGGTTACATGAGCACAGCTAGGCTTTACCACCAACTAAATAACTATATACATCTTAACTTTTTACAGCATTTAAATGAAACTAAGGTGTTTTGGTAGTATGTAACTAGCCTTTTTTATAATTTTATCACCACATATATCTCTCAATCCGAGCGTTTCACACTTACATTTCGTCTGCCTTTGATTATATAGTCCTAAAATATTTAAAAAAACGCGTAATATTGTACGAAAACCTTAATTTTTTAGATATCGTTATTATCACAGAATTCCTTTACTAATAGGGTAAAAATATTAAATAAATATGTATTTATGAATATTTAATTATTTTCTTGTTTACATACTTCATATAATATTCACGCGTTGGCTGAAAAAAAACTTATCTCGCTATGAACTCAGGTCATGACGTGCTGATAAGAATTTTGTTATACAATATGCTACTTTATTATTATGACATGGAAAGTTGTAATTTCGTGTGGAAAATTTAAAATAACTTTAGTTCCTCTTCCTAAAGGCTGTCTTTATTCAGTTAAATATGCATCCTGATTAAGACAAGATTATCATCATCAAAATCATCAGCTTATCAGAGCCCACTACTGAGAGGCCTCTTCTCACATGGAGAAGGTTAGAGCATTAGTCACCACGCTTGTTCAAGATGGATTGGTGATTTCAAGACAAGATAAGATTATATAAATGGGATAGTTACGAAAATGCTGAGTCAAGTTTTACTAAACTGATTATTTTTCAGTTATATCTATTGATATATATCTATAAAGTTAAAATATCAATATTTATGATTTATTTTATGATATTGTAATCATAAAGTCAAAATTTTAGTTTTCTATATAGCAATGATATTTATATTTTTTTATAAGTAGCGCTACCTTCAACATTTTTCGCTCTTACTTTCTATATATAAATTATATTTCATATGTATGAAAAATCATTAAACACAAATTGGTTATAAAAATCCTTCTTCCTTAAATTTTTAATACAGATAACGTTTTCATAACAGGTGCGAATGGCTACGAAATTAAAATTAATCATTTTTTATCTATCCAGCAGTTTTGTGGTATAACCGAATGAAGATTGTAGAATTAAAGCAATATTTTTTAAATAATTAATATCTATTCTAAAATTTTATAATTACTTCTTACTGAAACAGAAATGGAGTGAAGATTTTATTAATACCACAAGTTTAGGACTTTCGCGAGTTTTATTCATTTGAATGAAACTAATATTTTTCGGATTTTTACTAGACACTCACATCTCGTCTGTCTGTGATCACGGTTACTGTAATTAAACGTCGGGAATAGTATCTAGTTTTTATCAAAAATAAAGTCGCGTATAATCCGAAAAACATTAGTTTCATTAAAGTTTAGGACTACTGCTAACAAGTACATAAAACAAAACACGTGACAGAAATCTAATTAGAATGAGGGAATAAGAACAGTTGTAGTATTCTTATTTACAGGATAATATAAGAGTAACAGTTAACTTCTCAAAAATATTTTAATTTGAAGTCGATATTCAGGTAAATTAACAAAACTAGACAACGGCCAGACCTTAGAAATTAAAAACTTAATTTAATTAATAAATTTATACATCATTAAATTCCTTACTTTTTTTTAATATATTTTTCATTGCAATTTTAATTTATAATAAATCAAATAAATTCTTTGATTGCTTAAAGAATTTAAACTAGTTTTTTATTCATGTATCCCAACTCTAAAAAACTGGTTGCGACTCGAAAAAAAGTTTTCTAAACCTATATATAAAAGACACTACAATAACAATTACAACCATATTTAAACCTTATTTTTTAATTAATAAAAACAACTACGCATTGTTTAAACATCAAATTCTATGAGGCCTCACTGCTAACACGATAATCAATTAGGTCTGACCCATTTACAGCAAAAGAAGTACACTTTGAAGTCTAAAGTTGAAAATTAATGACCAATAAATAACATTTGATAAAACAATGGGATTGATTGCGATAGACAATTAGGGCAGAGTTGTTTTCAAATCTAAACGTACCATTGAATAAAATCCTATTTAGGTCAATTGTGACGTATTATTTACTATGTGATGCAATGCTATTGTACTCATACGAGCTTATCGTAAAAGGTGCTTGCGGTAATTTTAACTGTTCTACGAGTACTTGCGTGTTGACAAACGCTCCTACCGAGATATGATTACGCCTTATATATGATTTCATTGACCATTTCAAGAATTATATCTAATATTTTTATTGATTTCTTTAAGATTTTATTAGTATTTTGAGTTTTTTATACTCATTGAGTAGTTTTATAGACGTGACTATAAGAACTTATATATTTTTTCTAAATCTATAAAAATACAAACGAATGTAATAAATATATATAATGAAAAAAATATTGGATAAAATAGTTATTGGTAAATGATTAGAAATGAAAAATTGTAAATGATTATCTTTTGGATGATGACTTAATCATTAGCAAAATATAGTAACATATTTTATTTTATAATCTAATTGTTAGAATATATTATCAATACTTCTTTACACACAATGCCAGAGAATCGACTGCGTATACTTTTTTCCCCTAACAACCCTAGTCAAGTTTATGATTTATTAATTAATTAATATATACCCACAAATTGATTTCAAGTTATCGTTTTTCTTAATATATCTGTAGCATTAATGCCAAAATTATGAACATCAAATATATTATACATGTGCATCCCGGGATAATAATTTGACAGATATGTCGCAAAAGTTTTTATCGAAGGTTCCGAAACTTTGTATTTCTCAAGTTTATCTTTTGTAACTACTTTTAAAAACTTTCAAGCTTGTCTGTTGTACGGACATTTGTAACTACATTTTTTTACTTACAGACTTATAAAGTTTTAATTAGCGATAATCCTGCGGACTGTATGTATATATATAAAATGTTCGTTTGTGAACTATTACCTTCCAGTTTATGGATATCCAAGAATTTGAAAGTTTTCTCAATATTATTTTACAATAGCGATGAACACTAACAAGACCAGTTATATATAATATATTAATCAAAATTTCAATACACATAAGATAAAAAAGTTTCTTCTTGAACATGTAGTTCATTATACGATGTACTTTTTATAATAAAGTATCGTTAACCATTAGTATCTGCATACTTCTGTACATGCATAGGGTAATGCTAAGTATGTACAGAAGCAAAAGTTGTGCTATTAAGAGTGGACTTGTATTACGTCACTCGAAAATTTACATTATACTGTTTAGTTCATAAATAGATATTTTTGTTTATGTATCAACTCATTTTATATATAGAAAAACTCATCAAACCTACCAAGATTTGAATCTGCGACTTAAAATTTTACGCGATTAAGTTGTTTTAACAACTGAGCTATTTTGACTAAGCTGATTTAAATTATATTAAGTCATATATTTAAATGTCTAGGAGTAATAATGATGCATAAGAAATTCGTAAGAAAACAAAATAAATCAAGCGTTTTCTAATTATATATATATATAGGATACTTAATTCTAGTTCCTCACGTAACAGTACACTTTGAAATTACTCCAACGAATTCTCATTACACTCAACACAATTGAGTTAATTAATCTAATTTCTAAATTAAGTAATGAGAATTTTGTTGTTATATTGGAGCTTAAATGATAGCCTTAATATTTTTAATACAAATATTGATTTATGTAATAAAGAATTTGTTTTAGGGCTTCTAATGTAAAATTATGAGTCGATATTAGATCAATATATGATTTTCACATTTTCGAAGCTTTTAAGAATTAGATTTACTTTTGGATGTATAACAAATTGTGTACTTGATAAAAGAAACTTTTTATTTATATCAAATTACTGATATTAAAAATTATGATTGTTCAGGGCATGTGCTAGAACTAAAATAACTATTGTTTGAATGTTTTGAAATTGAATCTGTAACCAAAACGACTGTGAGACAACAAAAGAAATTAATAATTAATTCACGGGACAAATTATAGTTATTACTATTACTAAGAGAATTCAGAAGACGGTAATCTTAAGACATTGTAAGAGATTGACCTCGTCTCGGTCAGACAACGAAAACATATTTACCTCTATATAATTTTTAATTAATTTTATATACATATTAATGTAAACAAATTTATTTATAACTACTCAACATGTTTACTTGTATGGCAAATCTTTATATATATTATAACTAGGAATAAATAGGATTGTAAACCCAAATCACTTTTTATATTCCAAATTGGTATTCTGTTAATAATTATATATTGTTAGTTATTGTTTTTAATTTCGAAACTTATAAAGTTACTATAAATATTGTCAAAAACAATCAAAAATATAAATATCTTTTCATATCAATAGTTTTGACTGATATTATTTTGTTTCATCTTCATTAGTTAATAGAAATGTTTTCAAAAACAAAAATATTATACGACCATATTCCGATATTTAATTACAATTTAAAAAATATAAACATTAAAAAAAATTGTCCAAACTTTTGTTTTATCAAATCTTAACGTAAAAGAATATTTCAACGAGCTTTACACACCAAAGGATCAATACAAAAAGAAGTATTTTGAGTTGAAATAATAAAAATATGTAATACGTTTTCAAAATATTTACACGCACCTTATATACTATGTATAAGTCAAAAATGAACATACCACGG